TGCACACCGAGTACAGTTTGATCCAGGATAGTTTTTTTGCTCATGAGTGACCCACAATTTTTTTTTTGCAAATTTAAGGATTTTTAATAGGACATGACACAGGGTCGTCGAAAAGGGCAGAACAACATCTGCCTGACAAGCTAGTTATTATATATTTTTTTGGGTTCTTATCAAATTAATCATGCTGTCTATCTCCTCTTACATTACCCTCTGTCCCTATTTACGAAATGCCTACGCATACCCGCCTCGCGGGGCCAAGGATGGGTTATGTTGGACACGCACGGACTTAAACCCCATGGTGTCCCACCTTCGTTGCATATTGGCAGGGCCACGGGAACGCTTTCGCACACATCCACGGCCCCACCAGCGCCGGCCGCTCTATGACTGCGCCTCCTAGGAAGAGGACTACTTCTCTCCTTTCTCCTTCTCAAGTAAGGCGCACCAGAACACTTGGCACGCCTTCCTCCACGGTCTCCAACTACGCCTGCGCAACGGACGCTCCCGTGTCCGATGCGTGATAGCTATGAGGCCAGGAAAACCAAGCACTCAGAAGCACTAGCCTTCTTGACCCCAGCGGCGGATCTGGTCTATGGTCATTATTTACATAGGCCTGCCGTAATAAAATTAAAGTTCTTGTAGACGATATCGTTGTGGATCTTACTTTTACGCAAGCAAATTGCTTGTCATTTAATGGTCACCATCATCAATATAGCATATCAAAGTCAACTATTGAACATGAGCCTCCACCTTAGATTTACCGTATCTTAGATGCTATACTAGTTGTCACGCTTGACAGACGGGTTGGCAATCGCAATTTCTTATTGAGTTCTTATCAGGAGATGCTACTACCCACTTCTCGTTTTATATTCCCGCTATCGACTCTTATCGTCGTCGGTACGAATAAAAATGTTATTTTTATTTAAGGACTTGTAAGCGGAGGTCGTTGCGTCCATTTATCAATGAGCTCTACGAACTCTGGCTCTAAGTGTATAATTTTAGAAGAAATGCATGTTCATTAAACTCACTCACTCGTTACTAACGTCACACACTATCACTAACGTAAACATACTTAACCACTCACGCCTGTCACCTAGAGGAGTAGTCAGAGACTACGGACTTCCATAATAATACTGTTTAATCCATATTAGCTATTAACCAATACTCAAGCCACCTCATAGGAGATGGCATGAGAGGAAAAGATAAATGACATTGCATTCGAAGACCTTCTCAGGAAGGCTACTAATACTACTTAGTTCTTTTCGTCAGAATCCCGATTCAAACAGGAGCTTCATAATGAGGATATAAAATGGGAAAACATACTAAGAATATAAAATGAACTTTTATACGTGGTAGAGCTATGCTGCAGTTATATTAGAAGTATAGTTGTAGTATGAATGGGTCGGCTCGACCGGGGAAGGACAACGCTCTCACAGAATACCTGCGTAAAATAGTAGCTTAATGTTGCTGTGTTTCGTATGGTGAGTGTAGAGAACCGGAGACCCTTTTTACTGGAAATGAGGCATTCCATCTTAGTCCTCACGGGGGACAACGCATCTGCATTTTGATTCATAATCGAGGATAGATGTAGATGTCTATGGGCCACAGCAACCACTTAACATCAGGTGGTCTGTGTGCTCGTTTATCACCCTATCCTATAAAAAAAAGAACTGCACCTACATATGTAATAAAAATGCGTTTGCCAAACCGCATACCAAGCTTGTCAACTATGGTAAATTTCGCCCCTATGAGGCAGTCTATATGAGATGCCCATGTTTAGAAATAGAATTTAGATGGCTGTGATAAATGAAACGAATACACGCACCCACAAATATTATAAAAAAAAACCTCATTATTCCATATCTTATGTATTTCCCAATGTTGTTTAGTAGTATTAGATATATATTAGCTCGTTGTTACTGTTAATAACGGTTAATTATGTATAGTTTTAGAGATATAGACCTCATTTTGAGTAAAGAGCTTCGACAGACCTAGGTATAGACTACCACCTTCCACCCTTAAGTATAGGTGTCGCCAAATATTTCGACTACCTAGATCTTATAACTAATTTGTTAATTTCTACACAGTAATTGTAACAAAAGCATTAGTCACCTTTAATAATATTAAATCTAGAATTGTATGGTTAGCCTACCTGGACAATTTGCATTTTTTAATTTGATGCCAAGAGATTATTTTTGATATTAAACTATCATGATTTAATTGATATCTTATACCTTATTAGTAAGAAGGCGTACTTATGTAATTTTTTTATATAATTATTCTTATATTTTTTGCTGTAGATAATGTCAATTATGTCAAGTATTGCTAAATGAAATAGCAAGCAAGCTTTAATATATAAATAAATAATTAACAAAGAGATTTAAATATATGTATTACTACTACATATTTAAATGTCTTTGTTAATTAATTAACAATCAGTGATTTTTTTTGTAAAAATATTTTTTCTGCACTAAGATAACAAGGTTTCTGAAGTTTTAGTGCAGCGTCGAAAATTTGAATGTTGGCAACCCTAATACAGTGTGCTTTTACAAAGAGATTATGAATTGACACTATATGATCTTGGGTTGAATGGTCTAAGATGATCAAACATATCTAGTTTATTTATCTTTTTTGACTGCCTCGTTGGTCTAGTGGACGTAAACACGATTACTGATCATGAGGTCCCAGGTTCAAATCCTAGGTCGGACCAAAATCAGTTATTAGATTTTGTCAACCATTTCTCAGTAGCAGCCCAGAGCTATGAAGTCGGCGGTGTTTTATTCACCCCTGTGCCTCGGAAAGCACGTAAATCCGTCGTTCCTGCGCCTGATCTCTCTCCGGTCGTGTCGGTTTACCGTCTCAACGGACTATGAGAGTGCACCCGTGCTCGCGCATACACTCATGCACTATAATCCTGTCCTGCGCCGATGGCTAGTCACCGTTGAGGCAGGCCGCCGTGACCGAAATTTGGTCCGGAGGACATTATTATTATTACTTATCTTTGAAACCCATAATCGGATCATTGTGTTTATGCATTCTAAAACAGTAGACTTATGGACCATAAATACAACACCTCCTTGGTACAGATGGTCGCCCTTCCGGTGATAGAATAAGTGTCCTCCCTCTCTCTTCGGACCTCGAATAATCCTATAATATTCCAGCGCAACTTGTCTATCTCTTCTTCCAGCTCCAGGATCATATCGTCAGTCTTCAGGGTGCGTGCACCCCTGCCCCGCCGTTACCATGGTCGCCACCGTAGCCAGGAATAGCGGGGCCGCCGGGAACTGGGGGCCGTTAATTTGTGTCGTTGCTCATGTCATTGCCATAGTTGCCACGCTTGGCGAGCGGGTTGGCAACCGCAGTTTTCTTGTTGTACAAGTGCTGTTATCAGGAAGATGCTGCTGCCCATCCCTTTCCTGTCGCCTCTTACGACACCCACGGGAAGATATGGGGTAGTGGATATACTTAACCGCCACTACACGGGATTTAAACAGTATACATTATCGAATTTGCGATTGCAATCAAAAGTATACTTATTTAGGACTAGCTGTTCCTCGCGACTTTGTTCGCGTGGAATTTATAATAATTGGATTTCAATGAGTTTTATTTTTTTGCGCGGTACCCTAATCCATTTTCTAAAATAAATGTAGCTTAATTTATTCCTTAATAACGTCCGCTATATGCGACTGAAAGTACCGTCAAAATCGATCCAGCCGCTTCAGAGAACCAGAATAAGCAGACAGGCAGACAGACGAATGAAAAATTGTGAAACATGTGACCAAAATACCTTAAGGTGTGGTCTAGGGTATAACTTTACACATAATATTCCTCGATATATCACTTAATCAATTGACATGTGCTTATTTTTTATTTTTGCCAGAATTGGTATAAGCAAACCTAGCATGGTATACTATACACGTTCATTCAATGCCGACAACATGACATCCTTTATTAAAATAATCTATGAACTTGAGTCGCCATTTGATCGTGTATTCATTTAAAAAAAATCATCAATTTGAGAGAAAAATAAAATTGAAATAAACATGTGTATAAATAACAGAAGAATCTCGGATTCGGTTTGATTGTACAAGAATATGAAGGCCTAATTTTATCTTTGTCATGAACACAGAAACATGTGGCTGAGGACCCCTGAGGCCTACACTCAGGGGTGATACTGAATTTTGGTTCGTAATTCAGAATAGATGCAGATGTCTATAGGCCACAGCATCCAATTTTATTTTTCTCCCAAATTGATGATTTTTTAAAGTGAATTTTGAAACAGTTCATCAACTTGAGAGAAAAATAAAATTGAGATAAACATGTGTATAAATGAATAATATAAGAATCTCGGATTCGGTTGGATTATATAAAAATATGTTAAGGCCTAATTTTAACTTGTCATGAACACAGAAACATGTGGTTGAGGACCCCTGACGCCTACTCTCAGGGGTAATACTGAATTTTGGTTCCTAATTCAGAATGAATGCAGATGTATGGCCTATATACATCTGCATTCATCATTGATATTGTAGGAAAACAATTTTTACTTATAATATCATTGAGGCCACAGTATCCAATTAGTCACTTTTGGATAGGGGGGAAAAAAATTTGTTATTTGGGTTGTCCCCGGTGGGGGTGGGGGGGGGTGTTTTTTTTTTTTTATAAGGGGAGGGTGGTTGTTGGGGTGGAGGGGGGGAAAAAAATTTTTTGTGAGGGTTTTTCATTTATCACCCTTCTTTAAAAAATAAAACAAACTACGAAATTATTAGAATTTTTATTATGCTCAGTAATTATAGACTATATAAACAGTGAAATATAAAGAAAAATATAATTACTTAAATACTACCAAAATGCAAGTCATCATAGTTAAATAATATAAATATAAATAAACTTTTTCTAGAAACTAATAGTTAATTATGTTGATAAGCCAACAACAAAATCTTTGCCTTATGTCTATACTCACAATTATATCAAAGCAAATATTTAAAAATGAGGAAAAAATTTTACCAATATTTCTCAAGGGACTTTACCAAGTCTAAAGGATCAACATTGGGCCCATGTCTTTCAACTGGTATTCCATTCTTGTCAACAATGAATTTGGTGAAGTTCCATTTTATAAAATTACCCAGCATACCACCTTGTTTGTGCTGGAAGTATAAAAACAAGTGAATATTTAAATATTTTAACAATTTATTTCAAATCAAGTTTATGAATAACATCAAGGAATCATTTATCTGCTATTAACAATTTTTACAAGGTAAAAATGAGTTCAAGGTAAATAAAATCAATATCTTTACTGTGAGTTCACAACAGGTGAATCATTACTAATTCACACTACCTTCCGAAGTGGTCGAATTTTGTTAAATATACATAGGCGATATTAATATATACCTTTAAAAACTTCCATAGTGGATGAGCTCCATCTCCATTGACATCAATTTTTTCAAACATATCAAATTTTACTTTTTTATCTGCCATGAAGCAAGCAATTTGTTCAGAATCTCCAGGTTCCTGGCCAGCGAATTGGTTGCATGGGAATGCCAAAATACGTAACCCTGTAATATGGCATGACACATTACAATATATCATGTCATTTTTAGTTTAACAAGTTTACTCTTTTTAACCAACTTCAAAAAGAAGGAGCTTCTCAATTTGAGTGTATGTTCTTGTATGTATGTTATGCAATATCTTCATGGAATGTCAACCAATTGATGATTCTTTTTTATTAAATACCTTAAGGTACACCCATAAGTTAAAAAGTTTTATGTAGGTAAAATTTCAAAGTTAATATTTTTTTATAGGATAAGGGTGACAAACAGGCACACAGTCCACCTGATGGTATGTGGATGCTGTGGCCCATAGACATTTACATTTAATCTTGATTAAGAATCAAAATGCAGATGCGTTGTCACCCTTGAGGACTAATATGGAATGCCTCGATTCGAGTAAAATTGGTCTCCGGTTCTCTACACTCACCATACGAAACACAGCAGCATTAAGCTGCTATTTTATGCTGGTATTCTATGAGAGCTTGTTCCTTCCCCGGTTGGGCCGACCCATTCATGCTACAACCATAATAGCTGCAGCGTGGCTCTACCACGTAAAAAAGTTTACAATAATTGAAAATTTATATTTATTTATGTAATTTAATGAATTTATTTAAAGCAAATATAATAAAGATCCAAGAAACAGTTTAAATAGAACATGAAAGGCAAATTTTTAATAAGTTTGAGGTGCTTAATATTTCTCAGATCGGTTGGTCATTTAGAGAAAAATTTAGGAAAAGAAATCTATAGATACATTGCTTTTAGGTAATAAATAAATAATAATGTCCTCTAGGCCAAATTTCGGTCAGGCCACCAGTCTCAATGAAGGTTAACCATCTATGCAGGACAGGATTATAGTACTTAAGTGTATGTGCAAGCACGGGTACATTCTCTATTCCCTCACTCTCATAGTCCGATTCTCATAGCACGGTAATTCGACACGACCCAATAGAGATTGTTATCATTTACGTGCTTTCTGAAGCACATGGGTAAACCACCTCCAACGTCCTAACTATGGTCTGCTACTGAGAATTTATTAACAGAAAAACTCAATAACTGATTTTGGCGTGACTCAGGATTGGAACCTGGATCCTCATGATGAGCAATCGTATTAACGACCACTAGAATTGGCGGACACTTGCCCTTGCCCTAAAACCCTCTGAAGTCAATGGACGCCTGTGCCCAGCTGTGGGACGTATATAGGCTTTAAGTTTAGCTTTTTAACTTTTATATCTCATTGTTTTTAATCAAGGTGCCTGGCAATCACAATGCGGATCTTGAGCTGAAATCTCGGTGGAGCCAATATTAATGCTTTTTCAAGCTATAAATATAAAGTAAAAGTAAAGTTACAGCCTATATACGTCCCACAGCTGGGCACAGGCTTCCCCTCTTTTCTGAGAGGGTTTTAGGGCAATGAAATGTCCGCCGTGCTGCGCCAATGCGTGTTTGCGAACTTCACATGTCTTTGAAATATTTTTTTTCTTATTCCTCAGCCATGCAGGTTTCCTCATGATGTTTTCCTTCACACCGAGCATGTGGTAAATCAGCACTTAAAATTGCATTTAACAATTTTATTGGTGCTGGCGGGGATCGAGCTATAAATATGCCCATAGCTAATAAATAACAGTACATAAGGTGGTGGCAGCTGCTACTTAGATAAATGGAGTTTATGGTAAAACCATGTAGTGGAGGTATAAGAACATCTATTACTCAATATTGTCCCATGGGTGTCGTAAAAGGTGACAAAGAGAAACTAATCAGAAGATGGGTAGCAGCATCTTCTTAAAACTTCACAAAAATAATTTAACTGCAGTTGGTAACTTGTTTGTTAAGAGTGGCTACTATGGCAAATGTCCCACTATGAGGCAATCTATGGAAGAGGCCTATATAGTAGGCAGTGGACTTTTGGCAGGATGTAATGATGATGATGATGAAGGCGACGCGACCACTACTGATATCTTCATTAATTTCGCCGAGAGACCTATTTTTAGCAGTGGACTTCTATATGCTGTAATGATGATGATGGCGACGCGGCCGCGCCTGAGATCCTCGCTAACTTCACTGTAGTGGATGCTTAAATTAGGCATTAGACCAGGCAGTTAGGAAGGAAATAAACAGTAAATTAATGTCAGTCATCTTATTGTTATTTAATAAAAATAATGGAGAATGTTCTAGAAAATATACCTTTACTTTCTGCATACTGGTCATAGAGTTCGTTGAGTTGCTTGTAATTGTTGGCTGTTAATCCACACTGAGATGCAACATTTACTATAATACAAACATGACCCTTGTATATATCCAATTTTACCTCTTCACCTTTGATATTTTTTACAACAAATTCATGAATACTGGTGGCCGTTTTGTAATCAGGATTTTCAGATGCCATTTTTCTATTTTTAAAATAATATATTTATAGTTAAAACATCATTCTATAGAATATGTAAACACCTAAAGAGTGGTTATATACTCTTCGATAACGTATTATTCACTAAACTATGTAATCTAATCTACAAAAAGAAAAAGTAATAGTCCATACTTTATTTTCGTTTGCTTTACAACAAAAAACAAAGTATACATTTAATATGACGCCATATTTAAATACAAACATATTGAAAAACATAGTATAGTTACATAATAATAAAAAAAAAACAAAAACATATCACTAATATTCTTACATTGTTGTAAGCTGGGCTCTGGATAATGTAAATAAGTTACCGACTGTAGGCACAACTAGCTTACTAAAAGTTCGAAATCCAATTGTCATTGTAAAAAAGTAGGTAGTACTTTAACTACCTACCAAAACAATGCGCATGCGGCATGACAGCTAAGAGAACTAGGGAGAGGAACGGTGATTGATACAATAAAGTACGTACTAAGTACATGCCAGTAACATATACGTATTTAACACTATTACATATCAAATAAAATTGGATTATAGGCAAGATTTTAGGTTGCTATTAGAAAACACTTTGAGTATTAAACCAAAGGAGGCGGCGTCGCAAGGCATACCTCAGTGTAAAAGGTGAGAGTTCGACTCATAGCCGTTATATTTATATAAAACTGGTTGCTTCGCGTCGTGCGTTGAATCTTTGAGTATTCAACCAACTGGAGAGGTCATGCGCGTTGATTCCTAATCAAAAAGTCTGTCACTTTCAGGGGGAGGCGAGGAAAACACACTACTGTATACTTTACTACAAATGCAAAATTGAATCGCGTCACTATATACGCATACTATAGTATTTGTGTTTGAGTGCATTGCATTTACGAGAACCATCAAATTGTACACATATCGATACACAGGTGCCGCTGTCTACATGAGTAAGCAACATAGGGCTATGTCGATATTTATTATTGATAACCAAATCATCATAGTCCGCATAAGTTCAGCGTTGCTGAAATTGATTTTTAGTTTTTTTTTCATCCTTTACATCCCTTCACAAGTCCACTGCTGAACATAGGCCTTCCCAAGGAATGCCACACAGCATGGTCTTGAGCCACCTGCATCTATCGACATCCTGCATGTCTTACCAGGTCATCACTCCATCCATTGGGGGGTCACCCTACACTTCGCCCACCGGTACGAGGCTGTCACTCGAGAACCTTTTGTTCTCTTCGGTTGTCGGTTCTTCGAGCTATATGGCCGGCCCATTGCCACTTCAGCTTACTAATCTATTGAGCTATGTTGGTCACGCTGGTTCTACCGCGGATATCCTTATTTCTAAGTTTATTATGTAGAAAACCCCAAGAATCACCGTCTCCGCAGCTCGCTGAGCGACTTTGAGCTTCCTCATAGGGCCAGCAGTGAAGGGTTGCTTAGTGTAATGTAAAATTATGATTTCATTAGTTAAAAGAATTGTGGCCACAATTTCGAAAAACTGATCAAACTCAGATTTTATTTCAAATTTAATCAAAAAGTACGCTATGGGTACTTCACACGTTGTGTTTATACCGACCAATAAAACACTACAGCGTCAGTAGCTTCATCGGAATTATCTGATATAACATACCTACCACTTAGTCAATGTCCGTGGTACAGGCAAACAAGTTTCTAAAGTTTTACGTACATAGCGATAGGCTTTTGTTATTAATCAAGTGTTAGGGCGAAACATCTTAACTCTGAGAAATATTTAGTTCCGGGCAGTTTTCCGGTCTTACTTTTAAGTAATTATCTCTTTAAAAGTTCGCTTTCTTCAGTTCCTATCTTTTCTAGTAGGTACCTGTTTGTTTTCTTTATATATCAAAGATGTCTCTGTCAGCGGATCTAGTATTTCTTGTAAACTTGTAACAATTTTCTTTAAACACTGTTACTGCGGTTGAAACCTTTTTATGCTATTGCTTTTTATTTGGAGGCGATTTATTAGTTTCCTAGATTTTTTATTTCATAGAGTTCCTATTGGGTGACAGACTTGTATTGCAGCTTGTAGAAATAATGAATCTTGGATACCTTTTTTTTTATATATAGAAGAAGGGGCAAACGAGCATGTGGCTCACCTGATGTTAAGTGACTACCGCCGCCCATGATCAACCGCAACACCAGGAGAATTGCGGGTGCGTTGCCGGCCCTTTAGAAAGGAGTAAGCTCTTTCCTTGAAGGTCCCCAGGTCGTATCGGTCCGGAAAAATCGCCGGTGGTAAACTATTCCACAGAGAGGTTGTACGTGGAAAAAAACTCCTTGTGAAACGTACAGTGGTGGATCGCCAAGCATCCAGATGGTGTGGATGGTATCGGGACGTTTGACGTGTAGTGCGTTCACGAAATTTGGCGGCTGGGATTAATCCGAACAATTCCTCAGAGCACTCCCCGTGATAGATGCGATAAAATACGCAAAGAGATGCAACATCTCTTCGCAGCGCCAGTGAATCGAGCCGATCGGAAAGCACTCGGTCGTCGACGATTCGAGCCGCTCTGCGCTGGATGCGGTCAAGTGGAAGAAGCTGGTACTGGGGAGCCCCAGCCCAGAGATGGGAACAGTATTCCATGTGCGGCCGAACCTGCGCCTAGTAAAGTTGCAGGCGGTGTGCCGGCATGAAATACTGTCCCGCTCTGCTGAGCACGCCAAGCTTTTTAGAGGCCAATTTGGCCTTCCCTTCCAAGTGACCACGAAACTGCACGTCACTCGATATGTCGACGCCGAGGATTCCGATACTGGCTGAGGCAACAAGGGGAGTGCCTTGAAACTGAGGGTATACGACAAAGGGGTTCTTTTTGGCGGTTAACGCGCAAACTTGTGTCTTCTGAGGGTTAAACTGGACTAGATTTATTCGCCCTCAATCCGAGACTCTGTCCAGCAGAGACTCGACTTCAGACACAAGTTTGTCCCGGCACTCGGAGACGTTTTCCCGAGAAATATTGGCTCGGCCGGTGTAAAGAGCATCACCAGTGCTGTCATCTGCATAGCAATGAATCTTACGGGTACGCAACATGTCATTGATATGCAGAAGAAACAGCGTTGGCGACAGCACACAGCCCTGTGGAACACCAGCATTAATAGGCTTGCAATCGGAGCTTGCACCGTCTACAACGACCTTGATGCTCCGATCTGCAAGAAAGCTGGTGATCCAATCGCACAATTTCTCGGGAAGCCCATAGGAACGGAGCTTCGAAAGAAGCGCTTTGTGCAAACCCGATCGAAGGCCTTCGCATTGTCCAAACTAACGGCCAATGCCTCCCCCTTGAACTCTACTGCCTCCGCCCATCTGTGTGTTAGGTAGACCAGAAAATCATCAGCTGACCGACCACAGCGAAAACCGTATTGGCGGTCACTAATCAGCTGGTGATCTTCAAGGTACCTCATGAGCTGGCAGTTTACAATGGACTCCATTGTTTTGGAGAACAAGGCGGTGATGGCGATTGGCCGGTAGTTGTACGGGTCAGAGCGGTCACCTTTTTAGGGATCGGGTGGACGTAAGCCGTCTTCCATGATTTTGGGACTACGCCTAGGGAGTAGGAGTACCGGAAAAGACGCGTTAAAACCGGTGCCAACTCTGGAGCACACGTCCTCAGCACAATTGGGGGGATTCCGTCAGGCCCACTCGACTTGTGGATGTCCAGGGAGAGGAGTGCTTTGCGAACCGAGCGTTGTGTGAAGTGCACTTCCGGCATGGAGCACTCACACCGCGGGATGGTCGGCGGAGTACTCCCCCCGTCATCGAGAGTCGAGTTAGACGCAAAGAAAGAGCCTAGAAGATCGGCTTTCTCCTTTGCGGTATGGGCCAGTGAGTCATCCTCCCTGTGCAGAGATGGAAGAGATGGCTGACAGAAATTCCCCTGGACAGCCTTGGCGAGAGACCAGAATGCACGGGTTCCAGAAGGAAGGCGAACTAGTTTCTCGCCAATTCTGCCTATGTGCTCTGACTTTGCCTTGGCAATGACTCTTTTGAAGGACCTAGAGGCGGAATTATACTTCTTTTTTAGAGCGCTGGTGTTTACATCCCGGGACGCTGATGCATCAGCCCAGGCTTGGTAGCACTCCTGCTTATAGCATGATGCTATTTTACAGGAGCGACCAAACCATGGCTGAGACTTGCCTCCAATGGGCACCACAGAGGAAGGAATAAAAAGTTCCATACCCTGAAGTACCACATCAGCAACAGAATCCGCAACAACGTTGGGATCATCCGGCGAGAAGCAAACCCGCCCCCAAGGGTAGGATGCAAAGAAAGACCACATCCCATCCCAATCGGCTGACCTATAGTGCCAAACACGGCGGCAGCCTGCAGAATGCAACCGCGATTTCAGCGTGAGTGGCACCACACTCCGGACCAGACAATGGTCCGAGGAGCCTAAAGGGGCGTCGACAGAAATCTGATATCCGTCCGGGTGAGAGGTCAGCAGAAGATCCAACAGGGAAGGTGCATGATCCACCACATCTGGAATCCGCGTAGGCGAAGTAACCAGTTGTGTCAGACCATATGCCAAGGCAAAATCATGAACAGATTTCCCCGCATGATCGGTTAAACGTGAACCAAGCCATTCGGCGTGATGGGCGTTAAAGTCGCCGAGGATCACGATCTCTGCGGAGGGGATCTGCTGTAGCAACGAATCTGCAGCCATTTGGACGTGGTCGAATAGTCGGTCTGTTTCGGCATTACCGCTATGGGATCTATAGAGGCACCCGTAGACGCGCGGATGGTCGTCGCTGTCTACGCGTAGCCAAAGGATGGACAGGTCCGAACCTTCAAGTCTGCCGAGGCGTCGAGAGCAGATGTCCTCTCTGACGTAAACGCAAACTCCAGCCCGAGGCACAAAGGAGTGTTCCAGTTTGTACCCCGGGTAGGAGAAATACGAGACATCAGCCGGAGAGGATACCTGCGTCTCGGTCAGAAAGAGCAGAGCCGGCCTCGCCGTTCCGAGATGGTAGTGGACGGCGTTTAGGTTAGAGTGAAGTCCCCTGATATTGCAGAAATTCACGGACAGCGTGGCAGGGGTCGCCTTGGTCTTGTTGCTCCGTTTGCCCCGAGCAGTTGTATTCTTAAACGGAATTTTGCCCCCCCCCCCCCCAGAATACGCCAGGCAGCCTGAGCACCCACGCTCTGGAGTGAAGTAACTTGGTCGTGGATGCTCAGCGAGGGATTCTCCAGGGGTGCTGGTACCTTCCTGGGGTAGTCTAACATTTAATTCCGTTACCATGTTGATGGGGGGGGGGGGGAATTGGGCCTCCGACCATCTGCACTCACCAGACGAAACGCGGAAGCAGAGCTTCCACTTCACGCCGGTATTCTGTGAGGTCGTGGTACCACCCCGTTTGAGCCGGCCCATACGTGC